CCCCAAAACCCCAAAACCCCAAAACCCCAAAACCCCAAAACCCCTCTAAATATGATCTTTAAACTAATAAAATATAATAAATAGCAGGAACAAGTGATGTTCGCCAAGATTCCAAGTAAGAAAAGTACTTTCGCATTTATTTCATAGCCTATACACATAAGTAATTGGCTTCACGAGTTCACAATTGTGATTTGCTACATTTAGACATAGAGTATTGGGAAAGAAATTTTATTGGTAATAGAAAAGAAAATAGAGATTAGCTCATTTCCTCATATTATTAAGTTTTAACCCTAACTTTAGAAGTCAAGTTCAACTTCAATAAAGCTCAAATGTATACTTCTGACGCTGTAAGATTACCATATGTCTGATAATTTCAGAACTCCCATCTTATGAGCCACAGAAATGAAGCCAAGTCAATGATTTTGAAGCGGAATTTGTCATGATTTCGAACTTCAAAGAAGAACAGACAGAGCAAGTCAAGGTATTGTCTCACTCACCATTAGACTCATGAATGTGCGCAAGTAACAGAGCCTTACTTAACGGAAATTCACGTTTCAGAGACCACAACAACCAGTCTGAGAAAGTTCTGCATCAGCTGGCAGACATTAAAATTAAAAAGCTTCCGAAAGGTAAGTGTACTTTGCTGATTGCAGTGTTCAACTACTACCAAGAAGACCCTGACTCTAAGATGCAGAGGTCGATGAGTCTGAGTTCGCACTCCAAAGGGTTCCGCATCAGGAAGTCTGGAGACAAAATAGCCATCCCTACCGAGAGTAAGTTCGCCTTTCCACTTTGTTGGGTGCCGGTGCTAGACAATCAAATTTCTGATGAATATTTAGAAGAAGGCAAACTCTCTTTCAGGTCGATCCTCACAACTATCATCGAGCGGAACAAGCGATTCGAACAGCAGAGGCCTCCCATTGACAAGATCAGGAGCCTGATCCTCGGGAGCAAGAGAGCCAGAGAAAGAGCCGAGAAATCATGGAAGGACGACAGAGCCAGCTTCACTCCGTTCGTAGCTCCAGCGCCAGGGCCTCCACAAGAAGTGCAGGGAGGTAAGTGGTCATTGTGACCTGTAGCTGTGCAGAAGATCAGAATCAGGATCCGGTCGAAGGCAAAGACCCCAATGATCCACTAAGCTATTTAACTCAGAAGAAGGAATATCCTCTGTGCAATATGCTAAATTTTCAATCACTAATATATCAATTGGGGTTTTGGGGTTTTGGGGTTTTGGGGTTTTGGGGTTTTGGGGTTTTGGGG